GTACCTCATCAACATTCTAGTAGAGTATAAGAAGAGGATCTACTTCCCAAGAGCTCTTATTTTTCCTTCCCGTTTCCTTTCCCTCTTGATTACATAACCCTTTGCTCTTCTTCGTGTGATTCCTCATTCGACTGTCAAGATGAAGGTCTGTACTAGCATCTCCCTATTGCTCGGCCTCTGTGCCCGGGCATTGGGCCAAACTACCACCAGTGATACGACCACTACCACCAGTACTACCACAACTGGTATCCTTGACCCAGCCACCACCACCAGTACTACCACCACCACAACTGGTATCTTTGACCCAGCCACCACCACCACCACCACCACCACCACCACAACTGGTATCCTTGACCCAGCCACCACCACCACCACCACCACCACCACCACAACTGGTATCCTTGACCCAGCCACCACCACCACCACTGATCCCGGCTGGTCTTCTTCCTGGTATCACCCTACTCGGACCCATTGGCACTCTCATCCTCACTCGTATCCTCACTCTCATCCAATCCACCATCCTACCCCCTCTCATCCAATCCATATTCCTCCAAAAGTCTCTATCCCAGTCATTCCATCTACAGCGATCCATACCATGGTCCAAGCACGTGATGTCCATGCTTCCGGCTTAATCAACCCTCCCATGGCTCACCACCATACTTCGGGACCACCGGGACCACCGGGACCGCCTGAGAATGTACCGAAAAGCAGTGCCAGCATCTCTGGACCGGCCGTTGGCGGCGTGCTAGTTACCGCCTTCGCCCTATTTTCCGCTTCCATGTAAGGTTGCGTCGTGTGTAATAATCACGAACACCTACCGGCGGTAGTCTTGAGGTTCGAGAATCTGAAAACAAGGATGATGGATCGAAACTTGTTCGCAAGGCTTCCATTCATGACTTCACGATGATAGACTCGGACCAAGATAAGATTTGACACGCTGTCGCCGAGGCAGAAGTGACTTGCCAACTCACTGCCAAACCAGGATCTTCAGTTGGACATGAACAGTTTTGTTTGGTTTAGTTTCGATTCAAGGAAAATTATGAAAAATCAAAAAAAGGAAGGGAAAATGTGAAAAGCAAAAAAAACAAGCGAGTGGTGGAAGGATAGAGGGGAATGCTGAGAAAAGCTATCATAGTTGCTGCTTAATGTCTAATGGAGAACCGAGGGTTAATGCGACATGTGAGAACTGGCTTGTACATTTTCCGGATAGAAGTTACATGGTTGGATAATCAAGTATCTTCGGGTCTGCCCACCACTCCCATTACTGCTTCTTTCATGCCTATTAACTACTTAGTGATGGAAGGGAAGTCAATATACCACAAGAGTATCGAAAGTCGACTATGCTGATGTGCTGCGAGATGGGATGCAACCGCTGGGCAAATGCGCTATAGATCATCTCACTACAAGTTATTCGCCGTCAACCCTGAGGCCTCTGTTCCTTGAATTGAATTGTTTGGCTATGTAAAGCAGCAGATCATTAGCCAGAAAGGCCGAAGGACAGAGATGAGCTAGTCTGAAATTGCCTGAGGCTTTGGACATAGTCGTACCAACTATTCAGTTCAGTGGCCAACTGTTGATGAAAATTGATGAATACTATTTATTAGCATCAGGTTAGTTCCGTCGCCAGCGTCTCAACCCAATACTGGCCCACTAGTAACTGTAAAGCGCCTTACCCTAGGGACTGTATGGGGCGAATTGAAATTCTCCAACCATCCATTCACCCAAAATGGATACACCAAACCATGTGGTGAAGTAGCATTGAGGCTCAAATGTGGGGGACGGGGACATTGGGGCAAATTGTAGCTGGGTTGGGGGAAACAAGGTTATGCGGGGGGCCGGGGGAGTTACCCGGCAGTCGGAAAAAGGAGGCCTGCCAACTTGCAGGGTGATCACGACCACAGCGATGCTTCAGTACAACGCGTGTGATAAGACTCTAGAAAATGCTAGACTTTATGGGAAAATCAAACAGTGCGTTACGTAGTATTCAAATTCGACATCCTTCATTGTATTTCCCCCCTTTCCCCTCTACTGAGTATAGGGCATACAGTAGTGACGCGGATCATATCAGTGAACCTACTGACAGACGCTCACGACTATCACTTCCGTAGCGATAGGAAGTGTCCGAACAAGCATTAAATCAACTTTATCAAGTTTTCCCAGCCGATCGTTCATCGTTATAGACATCCTTTAATTCGTGAGCAAACAAACCCGAGACTTTGCCGCTGCTAAGAGCCCGTAGGGCAAGCAAAGGGCAGAAATCAGGAGACTCAGAGAGAGACCGACCGTCCCTTGTTTTCCACTCCAGAGACATCAGGCTAACGTAGACGGCTGGATTAATCGTATTACCAAAGTCATCATCGCTGTACCTTTTTCTACTCAGTCGATAAAGAATACTTATCAATATGAAACAAAGTATGACAGGACGCAGATGATAAGTGGTATTTGTATACTGAAGTGGTGTAGGTGACTTGAAAACGGGTTAGTCAGCCGGAGAAAAGGGCTTGGCTAGTAAGGGTGATATAAAGGGGGGTCAAGGGCAGTTAACTACGCGAAAAAGGAAGGCTAGGCAGGCTATTCTTTTCACCAATTTTTACAATACAGCGTTTTATTTCATTGAGATCACCAGGTTCCCCATTTATTACGTGCAAATACGAGCTAAATTAAGGATTCAGGATGTGTAGAGTAGTCTATCTCCTGAACACTGACCCCTAACTATGGGGCCACCCCCCATGGGGATCACTTCAATACAGCTGCCATACAATCGCTGTTCGAAGATCACACTCTCTAGAAAAAGAAAAGGCCACGTATAAAGGATGCTATATCCTCTGAACTCTTGATAACAGATTTGGCTCTCGAGCCCATAGAAGCAATATTCGAAGCGAGACTCCCAAGGGGCCAATACAAAATTTATGTGACTTCCTAAGTACGAACCATTTTCATAGAGGAAACGACCTTGATATTGTTGTTGGAAGAGAATGCGGCACGCCACGCCGCCATAGGCACGAAAGGGATGACTATGCCATTAGCAGTTCGTCGCAATATGTTAGGGAATAGTATGCGACGCATCATCTCTAAGCTGTGCATATGGGCTGACCATATCCGCAGCGGCGCTTTTACGGTGAAAGCTACTTGTACGAAACCGCTGACTCACGAGGACCATGACCTGCATGGTCACACCTAGCTTCAACCCGTATTTATTCGCATAGAATGGAACAAGAAAGAAACGCTGGATACGACGAGTCTGAACATCATCCACACAGCCGAAGGCGGCGCCAGTCAAATTAGGTAGGCTTTCGGGCTAACACCTCCCTCGTTACTTTGCCCTAGACTGAAGACCGGATCTTCGTCATCAATATCACCTGGAAGAGTTCCGGACAATTTCGACTGACTACTTTCTACGTTCATGTGTGGATTACTGAGAGTCTCATGTACCATATGTCATCGTACATGGCTCACGCTCATATGAGAAAGAGCGCAAGTGTCATATGTCAGCTAGCACGGCTCACAATTTATGTTCACCTAGAACAGACAGGAAGTCTCATAAATTATCCAAAAGACACGTTTCGCGCTTACGTGAAGTGAAGAGAGAGCACCTTGCATCACCCAGTCAAGGATACGTCTCATGTTCACACAAAGAGTGAAAGATTCGTAAACCATCCAGTAGAGCGTATGTTTTCTCTGGCGATATAAGATCGTCTCAAAAAGCTAAGGAAGATGGCTCTGGGACTAATTCCTCGGATCCAGAACATGAGGATAACACCAATGCACCGAGCCAGAACATCCCCTCCAGCTTGCACAACGTAGGGAACTACAAGGTAACAACACACTGTTCCGCAAGAAAGAGTATTTCTGGACAGGACATCAAGCCCGCTCGACATCTTGTAGCGTCTCCCGAACTCTACGATATACAACATCCTGATAGCCAGCTCTATCACCTACATCTCTTCTGCTGAACCTGTCGTATTCCTAATAATGCTTTTGATACACAAGTCAAATAAACTATTCAATAAATATATATGTATGTCTTCTACTGAGTGCTACCGGTCATAAAGTCATATCTTCGGGAGACACCAAATACGGCACTTGGCTGCTGCACTACAATCCAGATCGTGTCGCTTTTATTCCAAAGAGTGCACAGGGCCTGGATGATCTTACTCGAGAAGGGTCCGAAGGGGCCAAACAAGAGCACGTCCAGGCAACCATCAAGCAACACACCACGGAACAGCTCTATGAAGACCTCCAAGATGCGCCAGACGCCAAGGTCAATTCCATATGAAAAACTCAGCTTATAATAAAAGGGATGGACGCAGACACTACGTGCCTGTTGTGCAAACAACCGTTCGAGGCGACTTCAAGGGACTGTTCGGGATGAAGCGACAGATGACAAAGGGAGGCCTGCGAAACACCTAAAAACTCCAACACATACTTTTCATGTGATTCTCTCACGAGCAGAACTGACAGGGCTACGGAGCTGTGTGGTCATGATATCTATATCTGCGCACCTCTCATACGGACTAGGTCGTATCGCAGTATAGGTCTTGAAGTAATAGACACAGTCTCAGTGATGTTATTCAGCCCCCGCTTAACGTGAGACTTCCTGACAGTCGCGGCCTTGAGGCCATAGAGCATCCAAGCCATCGTCATGACTCCAGGAGTTATCTCACCCTGGAAAGTAATATTGTGGATAGCATAGCATATCTATCTATCCGCTTACATCGATACCTAAATTAGTACCTTAGGCAACCTAGGTAGGATGACATGATTAACGAGTTGTCATGGAGAATAGAAGTGGTCGCTGTTACAGTGTTACATTACAGTGCAATAATGAGGCAGCTGAATGGTCACTTAACTGAATGGTAGCGCTTAATTGATTGATTGATGAGCCTCCCTGCAGAAGGATGTTGAGACAAATATAATATCGTAGTCACAAATCGCATGTGCAAAAAGATAGAGACGGTCAAAATTAAGAACGAACTGAAAAAATAATGAAAAAGTAATTGTCTCCCGAGCGTGAGTCGAACACGCGACCTGTGGATTTACTATATTTCAATTACAGTCCATCGCTCTACCAACTGAGCTATCAGGAGATGACATGCTTATGATCAGGTAGTAGCGCTATAAAACTTTATTCTGTTCCAGCAGGGAACCTTGGATGCTGGACTACCTTGCGCTTTTTTTAAAAAAAAATTTAAAGATTTAAAAATTTTTCATACGCATTTATCACTATCTTCATGCGTGGCCTGTTGGCTTTAGTAGTGGTATTGATGTTGTAAAGGTAATGGAGTTATTGTACAGGCACCCACTGTGAGGGGGTTTATATGGGTACGCCCAGCGTGCCTGCCACAGGCCCAAGAATGTATTTAATATTTAATGTCTTGCAGCTACATGGAAACCCCAACCAACGTCAGGTCTTTCCGAAAGAATATACTTAGCACAAGTATTCCCTTGTCCAAATCAAACAGGCCAAGCAAGAAGTACATAACAAAAATATTTCCATTACATGAGCGTGATGAGATACTAGAGCTATTCCTGGGGACTTGGGATCGATTTATTCCCTCTAGATCCCTCGAAGCTGTCTATAGAGAGATGGGGACGAGAGGCATGAGAGGAATAGATGGAAAAGGGAGAGAAAGATGAAAAGGATTCAAGGCCCGACTGGAGACGGGGCAAGGCGGTCGCCCGTTTCGTGGCTTCCGACAAACTCAACAACATATGTCATTCTCTTCAACCTGTTCAACGCCTGAACAGGGTAATTCTGGAATGAAGTGGCTAACTGGCCCACAGCGACGTTCACCCCCTTCAAAGTCGATGATATTGAGCCCTTATGAAAAACCCTAGGGCCTTTGCACCATCACGAAGTCCGGCTACAGGATAATAACAGCGATAATCAGAGTCGCAAAATGTCTTCAATCTTAGTTCCCTTGTAGGTGGAAACCACAGCCACATAGCCGGATCCCTACTTTCCGCGGTCCTATTATAGGCACGAAAGATCAGCATAACACAGGAATAATGATCGCAGCCTTTACTCGATCTAGGTACAACACACCGACTGACTGACAACCGTCTCGCGTGCATTGCTAGCTGGTGATTATAATAATTGCTGGTTTGAGTACGTGCGCCTGAGTTAGACGACACAGGCTACACTTCAAGATATGTAACACAAAAGTCGACGGTCAACAGGTCAAGCCAATGTTATCTATTAAGTTTTGTCGTCAACCACATTTCCACGTTTTACAACTGGGGTATGACATGATATCCACTCAACATAGTATAGGCGGGGAGACAAATAGAGCGTCTTGGACCCGCGATAGCAGCCCTCCGAGGAATCACCCAGGGCGCTCAATGGGAGCACCATCCTTTGATACTCCAGCACCCGTCTGGGTATGAACCCTTTATATCCCATCGCATAGCCTATGCCGTACGTATCCTCATCGCGTCCCTACGCCGACGCCGAGACTGCAGTAGAACCACGTCTCACCGTTGACCGACTTTATACGTGCGGTGCTAAATGTCGCCTCCTCCAGACGCCGTACCGCTCGACGCCCAACGCTCATACATAAACAACATTCATTGCATTACATGTAAGTTTGTCGATTCAAGCCTATGTGTGATACCGCCTATTATTGTCCACACGGGTGAGGCTCTATTCGAGTCAACCAATGGTCGGGAAGTTGTCGTACTGAACCACAGCTTGCTAGACTAGCCGGGCTAATCGTAGGCGGATTTTATATTCTTTGATAGAACAAAAGGTAGGCGACCTTATTATCCTTGACGTTATCTTGGACTAACTTGTTGTTTGCCGGTACGGTGTTACTTGAGCCATTAGTAGTCGCTGCTGAACTCCATTTCTTTGCACCAGTCGCAGCAGAAGTAACTTTGTTCCAGCCCTCCTCATCTCCATCTTCGCCTCCAATGCCCTCAAACCGATTTCCAGTAGTAGGTGCGGGGACGCTGGGTTTTGAACTCACTCGCGCTGCTGGCTTAGTGGTACTCTTGTCCAAACTGGCTCCCGCTACGTCTTCGCTTCGGATGCGTCGGATGACAGTGTCGTCGATACGAATCCACTCCCGATCGTCCTGACGTCGAAGGTCAACAGTATAGTGACCACCACTTGCGGATTTACCATGATGGTAGACGGCCGCGGTTAACTTGTACTTGATAGGCCCACTGCTCCCAACTTGGAGCGCAACCCTTTTGCTAGGTGAGAACATCTCACTGGGAAGTTCGAGCTCCAGGGGATAATCGATTTTCGTCCAAAGTTTTACGGTGCCATTGGTAACCGGATCAAATTTGAAACGTTTCAGGTGAAGGATAAGAACTAGTGGTAGGGATTCGATTAACACCTGCTTGGTTGTTTTTCTCTGAGGGTCGAATTCCATGTTTTCGGATTGCGTCATGTGTTTCAATGCGTCCACTATGTTATTGACATGGGCATCTCCAATATCTAGTTGTAAAGATTGATATGTCTGTAAGGTAACGCTTTCCTTCTGTCCATGAACCCTCAACGCTGATCGTTGTTGTCCGGTAAATATCTTGCTAATTGGAGATGGTACCGTTGTATGGCCGGAAGAGCGCGTAATAGCGGCTCGTTGTTTCCGCCCAACCTCCAGCCACTCGCTGGAATCAGTTGTGCTTATTGGCGAGGATGCGCTAGTAGATGCAGTGGTTGATGAATTGGTGGCTGTGGATGATTCATTGAGGTGACGCATGACGTGACTACACTCATCGCCAATAGCCTGGAGAAGAAAGCCGAGAAATTCCTCAGCATCTTGTTGCTGCCCACGCTGCACGTCTAAAGTAAGTCAAAGTTTCATGACTATTAATATTTACTCAACATACCTGCATGCTTGCAAACCTAGGCAGTCGCTTCATAGCGTCGTATACAAATTCGGGGATAAATGCGTCGCCGTACTGCTCCAGTTCCTCACTCTTCAGTCGTCTCTGAAGCTGCGCCGCCGAGACGGCAGAGTCAATCACCTTATATTCGCGCAACAACATAACCCTGATGTTGAAATTAGCGATTCCCGAGAAATACAATGGATGATGTTGGAGCTCACATAGCGTCGATGAGTGGTGTTTCACTGTTGAAACTGTGCGCCGCCTTCTTGCTGACTTGGTCCAGAAAATCATAGAAAGGAGTGCAGAAAATCAAAGTTTGAAGGACCTAAAGAGCTTCGTTTAGTCGCAAATTTAAAAGACGGAACGAGGTGTCACTTACAGAATTCATGTAACACATATTCCCGGTATTAACTAAACCCCGGGGCTCAAGGAATGCGAGCTTGTTACCATTAGAGACTTGGTAGTCCCGTAGAGCTTCCGCCAGAGAGCTTGCATTGGACTTCGCAAAGGTCCCAGGCCCAGGGAGACCATTGCGCACAATATTTGCATCAGAAGATGGTGCACCAGGTGGTGTGATAGTGGAGACAGAGTTGTTCAGACCATTCGAGGGTATAGTAACATTCGCCGCAGGTTTAAAGAGCCGACTCCAGAGAACAGGCTGTTGAGCAGGACCAGGCTCAGTTCCTGATCCTGTCTGCACTGCCTGGACTGGGGGTTGGGAGGGGTTGTCACCACGACTCTCCGAGATCGGGGGAACTTTTGGCTCCTTAGGGCTTGTTTTTGGCATCACGGGAATGACTGGGAGTGCAGGAACTGCTGTGCGTGCAACATTTTTGGTCTTCGTGGGAGTAGAAGTGACAGAAGGTACAGCTTTGTATGATTCCGGAGTGGTAGCAGGAGACTGTGCATGTTCTTGGTGGGATGAACTCGGAGCTGATGGTTCTAAGGATAAGTCGGTACTGGAGGTGACCGTATCGGTTGCTCCTCCGCTGGGGATGTTTGTATTTTTGAGATCATTGGAGGAAGGGACATTCGCGTCTACCTCGGGCGTGGCGCCGTTTTGCTTACCCGCAGGCAGTTCCACCGCCGTCGTGTCAGTAATCCTTCGCCGCCTTCTCTTTGATTTGGTATTTCGTGAGGGAAAGTGTTCATTAGGATGCGAAAGCCAAGGTAGCTAAGCAGAAAAAAAGCTGTTAGCTTGCGCGGTAATTCTAGTCCATGGCGAGTACAACTTACAGGGTACTTAAACGCTCGTGGAGGTGAAGCCTCGACCTCAGGACGAGGGGGCGAAACTACTTGGGCCTCTGGCTGGGGCTCTGGATGGGATTCGGGCTGTGGTAGGGTGGTTGTTGGCGATAACGGGGCGGCGGCCGGAGCAGCTTGTGACGAATGAGTCGAGGTCGGTGTAGGGATAGGAGGCGGCACAGGCGAAGCAGCAGTGGGAAACGGAGGGGGAGTGGACAAGGCTGGAGAGGGCTGCTGTGGAGGAGGCGGCCGCGGGTAAGGTTGTGGGTGAACCTGCATGCTCGAGGAGACAATAGGAGGATATGTCTGGTGCACAGGCGGGGGAGACCGCTGCTGTTGCTGCTGTTGGTGGTGATGCTGCTGCTGCTGCGCGTATGTGGCATAGGACGAGACGGAATAAGGCGAGCTGGGCATGTGCGTGGCCGGGTAGTGATGAGCCATCTGGTGAGGCGGGTAGTAGGCGGTGGCATAGGGGTTCATGTAGCTGTTGGAGTACATCATGGCACCGTGTTGCCCATGCTGCCCGTGCTGCCCGTGCTGCTGGTGGTGCTGCTGCTGGTAGGCGGCTGGATGGGCCGAGTACGAGGGCTGGGGCGGCCGTCGTCTACCTCCTCCTCCTCCGTTGAGGCCGGGGCCCGCAGCTGGTCCTCCATGGCCGCCAGGCATGGGCTGCCCAGCCGGCAGATGATTACCGTTCATCATGCCGGCCTGGGGGGATCAAGCAGTGGTTATCCCACTGCTTTCGCCGCACGACCACTGTGAATGGGCCGTTGCGCTTCCTCCAGGCGGTTGATCTTCGGTGTGCGCTACGACACGTGCAAAGAACGAAGCAGAGCTCGGCGACGGCGCGAGGTTAGCCTTTTTCTGCTAGTGAATGCGCGCGTGCGCCGGGATGGCTTTGTGCGTCTGTCGCGATTGATAGTCGGCTCGCTCCGGTGTGCTTCCGCGACCCAAGACTGCTGCTTTATTGCATGGGCCCAGCGAACCAAGGCTGGCCAAGAGG